GTGTGCACCTAAGGCTCCGCCACTGCTCTGGGAGGAATGACCATTTCAGTAGTCTTAGACCTTCTCTACGTCGACAATACATATTCGCCCCTACAATTATGCCTTCCTTCGCCCTAAGGAAAGACTCAGAGTGCCGCAGTTAATCATAATTTCTTATATTTGATTTATATTACTAGGAGGCTGTGTGTCAGGGAATTGAGATCATGTGAAAAGACGGCGTAGAATAAGGATAATTCGATGTGCGCCTTACATGGAAAATGAATTAAGAAACAATTAAGAGTCAATTGTCCACATAAATGAGTTCTCACTATACGAATTGCAAGCGTGTAAAATCCAAAACCTAAGGCAACATCTGAAAAATAATGAAGGCGACTACAGCAACTAAACTACTCAAACATTAAGAAACCTATTTATTCAACCTAAACTTGTGTTCCCGAAAACGATCATTACAAATCCAGTCCTCTCTTTAGTATCTGCCGTATTTGAATGTGTTAACTAAACATAAGTTTAAGGACACTAGTCATGGTGTAAGTGAGACTTTAGAGTAAACGCAAGAAGGAAGGTACGAAACTCTAAAAAAAGGAAAGATTTGACAAAAACGTGCACTGGTCGCACTAAAGACAATTAAAGTAAAATAAAGCATGCGAAGCATGATTGACCGATAGCACCTAGCCGTGTTTGGGAGACTTAGAACGATTTGAAAAAAGTGAATAGTAAGAAGTGGGACTTAGAATGGTTGCCCGAAGGCCCTTATGTCACATAGTGCCAGAGTGAAATACGAGTTTTTGACATAGCTTTTCAAAGTTTTTATAACAGACGTCCCAGAAAATCGATAATTTTTATTTGCAACAAATTTTAGGTGTTTTTTGTCCTAGCTTGTTTTTGTTATCTAGAGTAGTACATAAGAGTCATACTAATTATCTGTTGTTTTAATTTGTTGCACCTGTACCGCAGTTCTCTTCTTGCCGCTTATGGCGCCTACGGGGACGTTTGTTCACAAGCAAGCGGTTACACGGGACTATGTGTTGCACCCCAGGATAAGTAAGAAATAAATTAAGCTTTTAAACCAATTTAAGGCTATAGGACTGTTTCTGGTGTCAATGGTCCGTTGGTTATCTTGGATGACGTCAAATTTCCTAAATACGCTGAGATTGTCCGCCTTACCTTAGCGGATGGTAGTGTGAGGAGTGGCCAGGTCCTGGAAGTCAGTGGAAAGAAAGCCGTTGTTCAGGTTTTTGAGGGTACAAGTGGTATAGATGCCAAAAATACGACTTGTGAGTTCACGGGAGATGTTTTGAGAACCGCTGTGTCAGAAGATATGCTTGGCCGTATTTTCAATGGGTCTGGGAAGCCTAAGGATGGAGGACCTTCCATTTTGGCTGAAGACTACTTGGATATTGAGGGCCAACCAATAAATCCTTACTCTCGTATCTACCCAAGGGAAATGATCCAAACCGGTATTTCGAGCATTGATGTGATGAATTCAATTGCTCGAGGACAAAAAATCCCAATTTTCTCTGCTTCGGGTCTCCCCCACAACGAGATCGCCGCTCAAATCTGTCGTCAGGCCGGCCTTGTGAAGAAGCGTGGAAATAATGGCGCAGAGGATGGAAACGACAACTTTGCTATTGTTTTTGCTGCCATGGGTGTTAACATGGAGACTGCCCGATTTTTTATGCAAGACTTCAAGGAACATGGCTCCATGGAAAATGTCTGTCTCTTCCTTAATCTGGCCAACGATCCGACTATCGAGAGAATTATCACGCCTCGTATTGCCCTTACAACTGCGGAGTATTTAGCCTATCAGTGTGAAAAACATGTGCTCGTCATTTTGACTGATATGAGCTCTTACGCTGAAGCTCTTCGCGAGGTAAGTCACAAATTTGTTTTACGGCTTCGCTTAGGTTTCTGCTGCAAGAGAAGAGGTTCCCGGTCGTCGCGGTTTTCCTGGTTACATGTATACCGATTTGGCGTCAATCTACGAGAGAGCGGGTTGTGTTGAGGGGCGAAGCGGATCCATCACTCAAAATTCCCATTCTCACCATGCCTAACGACGATATTACCCATCCCATTCCTGATTTGACCGGTTATATCACTGAGGGTCAGATATATGTTGACCGTCAACTGCACAATCGACAGATTTATCCACCGATCAATGTCCTTCCGTCCCTTTCTCGTCTCATGAAATCGGCCATCGGTGCAGAGATGACGCGAGAGGATCATTCGGACGTATCAAATCAGCTGGTATGTTAGATTTTATCAAAAAGGCTCCTCGACTTATTCACTGGCAGGAACTGATTGAGTACTTGTTTATTCTAGTACGCCTGCTACGCTATTGGTAAAGATGTTCAAGCCATGAAGGCGGTCGTCGGTGAGGAGGCACTGAGCGCAGAAGACCTACTTTATCTCGAATTTTTGAGCAAGTTTGAGAAGCTCTTCATCTCTCAGGGTGCCTATGAGAATCGTAGCATCTTCGACTCCTTGGACATTGGATGGGATCTTTTGCGTATCTTCCCCAAGGAGCTACTCAAACGCATTCCTGAGACAACGCTGAACAAATACTACCCTCGTCGAATGGGGAGGCAGAACTGATTCTTATCCTTCTTTACTCGGTGTCGTCACTTTAGATCTTGCCTCTGGCGTAGCGTGATTTGCGGTCCTTGCGGGAGGCTGCCTATTATGCATAATACTTTTTATCCGATCTCACACTTCTTTTGTGAGGTATCTGCCTGTGTGTTGTCCTAAGGCTGATTTTGTCGACTTAAATATAATCGCAGATGTGTTTTGGCTTATAATCCTTTCTAGGTGTAGGGGACGTTTTTGATGCGGTTGCTCTTAAACAGACGGAAAGT